CAGCAATCAAATTCATTATTGATAAAAAAAATGTTTAATTGTGTTAACATTATAACATGTTACTCTAAAGCATTAAGAATACATTAGAAATCTGGAACTTGTTCGCTGACCGTCAAAATTGCTGACTTCGGTAGAAACTATTGAACGAAAATGATAAATTACAAAACTAGAACGTATAATACTAACGGTTTTTAATGTTTTTTTCTTGGCTGAGGGTCAGATAAGATTTTCCATGGAACCGGAAGAGCAATTACACCTACGATCGGTCAGAAAACATAAATGCTTGTATAAAACACTAGTGAAATAGTATCGAAATTGGCGCTATTTATAATACAAAATGCTTACGACACATTTACAAACGCTACCTACTAATAAAATAAAAAATATATTATAGGTTACCTGCATCGTTCCGAAAAAAGAAAATTTCAACCACTGAACTTGCACGTGATCGATATCACAAGATGCAAATATAAATTTAGGTATTATACTATTGTAATAGTGTGGAACGCTTGCATTACAGTGTTTATATTATATTATTATAATATTACATATTGATATTATGGGGAAACCTGTGTAAGATGGGACACCTAACTTACATTTTATTTAAAATGGTTATTTTCTTTAATTGAAAAAACAAAGACCCTTTTTAATGTAAAATTATGGGTAGTTAGGTACTAAATTTCTAATCAGTTTTTTATATTATTATTAATTGTACACACATTTTTACTAAACATAAACATTGATTTTTATCAGAAGACTGAGGTAAGATGGGATAGTAATTTCAAATCATATAGGTGATAAAATGTTCTTCAAGCTTAAAATATTTGTTTTTATTTGTTGTATAATTAAACACAATATACAAATTATGTATATTAACATTTATCAGGAAAATGTGAGGGAAAATGATAGTTTTAGTATTAAGTTTCATATCTAATGTCTAAATAATAATGCCTATAGTTATTTTTGCTTGTAAAACATTTACTTTAGTATACTAGGTATATTCATACAACAGGATAAACAATAAACCCGAATTTAAAAGTTTAAAAAAATAAATAATAACATAGGACATAGTTCATCTTGCCCCATTGTATTTTTCCCGTCTTACCCCAAATAGTAATATTTAAATTTAACGTATCTATTATTTTTAAAATTAGGATAAACTCTACTAAACTCACATTAATCGAAACCTAACTAGATTAGCCATTAAGAGTTATACAATAGTAATTAAAAATAAACAATTATTTAATTACTTATTTATTATTTGATGTTTGCAAAATATTACATCGCCTATTGCCTTTAAATTCAAAGCACCCATCACTTGAATTATTTGTTGATATCAAATAATATTAATATGATGTGACCAACATCCTACTTTTTTTGTTAAAACATTTTTTTCCAAAAACTCAATAGTTTCCGAGATACAACGATGACCAGTCTTACCTCTAGTCCTCGTCTTACCCTAGTTTCCCCTATCATAAAAATTCATAATATTATACATTATATAATAAACATAATATACTCCAGATGCGTTGAAGTTTGATGCTACCAAGTCATCCGTAAAGTAAAATAATTTCTTATTATTTATATTTTATTTCAATAAACGTAATTTACTCGGTATAACTATTAATAATATTGTCTTGTCAATCATCTAAATCCCCCCATATACCTTTTGGTACCTAATAATCTGCAGTCGTCACTTCCAGCGATAGTCAATGTATTAATATAGTTACAGTAATATAAAGCCAAAATTTTTCATTGAATGTTTATATTATCATTTTCTATAAACCATGCAATTTTCAAAATATTTCGACTAATGTTGAGCTGTTTATGGCCATATGAAATTATTGATTATTATTAGTTTTTCTTTAAAATTAATATTTTCGAAAAATCAAAAAACTTGAAAAGGTAATACAAAGTTCCTCATAAATTTGTGTTAGTGGAAATTTAAAAAAAAAGTTGAGTGTAAATCCACAACAATTTTTTATGAGCGTCTAAAGTTTGAATTTTTACAAAATTCGTAAAATCATGAAAATTCGCAAACTATTTTGAGTTGGAAATTTATAAAAAAATTTATTTTTATATTTAAGATTTGAAAAAAACTTAATACGAAATTCCTCATAAGTTGAATACTTTTATCAAAAAAAAAAAATTCTACAGGAAAGTTATACTGCATTTTTATGAGAAATTCAAATTTATGACAACTCTGGCTATCCACTCAATTTTCTTATTGGTTGTAATTCAAAAACAAATAACCATAGATACTTGAAATGTACACCATAATATGTTTTAGTTTCTAATTTTCTATACTTGATATAATTTTAAAAATATTTTGATTCATTTTGAACCGTTACGATCATTATTAATTTTCAATTTTTTAGATTTTTTTCTTTAAATATCAATAACATTTTATTCGTCAGGTCCAAAAGCTTGACAACTAATACAATGCTTCTCACACATTGTTACAATATATGTTTAAAAATATTAAAAATACATATGCAAGATTTTTTTTGTAAGCATTTTAAGTTCAAATTTCGACAAAATGTAATCTAAATGAGAATTTACGAATTATTTCGCAGTTAAAGATGTATAAGATATTACATTTTCATTCGTAAAGATTGAATACTCAAAACAAGGTTTCTTATAAGTAGCTTACACTACAACTAAAAAATCTAAAAAGTATATTAACACAGTTATAGGTAGTTATTTTAAGTTCAAGTTTAGTTGAAATTAGATATTTAAAAGAAGAAGAACGACTTTAGTTTTGTGTTATAATTTAAAAATATTATTCGTGGGTACGTGAAACTTCTAAAGTAGGTGCCTAATGATAAATAATATTAATTCAACTTAATTAATAATAATAATATAAATATAATATAAATTATAATTGGTTGACAAATCGTCTTTGCTCAGAATAATTTTTCGTATACAATGATAATATATCATTGAATTCAAATTTAACACCATGCATTTCAGTGATCAATTTGTGACCTATACTGTACAACAGAGCTATATCCACTTACCTGGTTTTGCTTTCATAAAAATTTGCGTTTATTCTCCGTTTTTTATTTTTAATAATAAAATGCATTTATTCCTATTAACCCTTAAATATGCCAAAATACGTGATACAACATTTTATGTATTTGATTTGATGTCATACAAAATGAACTTATAACTTGGTCCGCAATGTGCATGAATGCTAGAAATTCCAAAAGAAAGAAGGAATATGACAAAGTCATAAACATCCTATCCCTAATGTTGACACCATAAATTTATTATGATAACTTTCAGATGATCATAATTTTTTCTGCGTCTATATTAATAATATAATATTATTAAAATAGTTTTGATTCTCGAGATGAGAAGATTTCGTTGCTCACTTGAACATGGGCCATTTCGCCTTTTTTAAATTTACAATAATAATAATATGCATTGTGAAGAAGACTGAGAATGTAATGCATTAATGTCTTAAAAAAGAATGTTCTTATGCCCTAAAAAATCAAAACAATGCATGTATAAAATGCACTTATTTTTTTTTTTTTTTTTGATTTTAAACAAAGTTTTTAACAGAGCTTTATTAACTGTAAAAAAAAGTTTTGAAGGACTGCACAATTTGAAATCTTCTTATGACTTTTATTGTGAAAAAAAAAATTATTCTCATCTCGTTTAATTTACTTCGCCACTCATAATATCAATTTTTACGTCGAACGGACCAATTCAAAAAATTTGATTAATACCTACCCATGGTTATTGCGTGTAAACAAATAATACGATAATCAATAATTTATTAAAGATATATTTTATTGGCATTAATAACTGTGAGGGTTAACTAAATTATTCATAAAATAAATAATCTACGATGGATAAACAATTATAATATAGTAAGTTGTATTAATAACAATAATAATAGTAGTTATAAATTATGGTAATATTTATGTAAAAAACAATATAATAAGTAATAACATCCAAGTACCTCAGCGAAGAGCAGTCGTGTAGTACAAGTTAAGCATATATTAATAAAATTACCAATTTACCTACGCGTGAAGCGTCATAAAAAGGTTTATAGAAGTTAAAATAATATGTTTGCTCTGATTACAAAAAAAAAAATGCGTCAGGTATTTAATAAATTTAGGAAAATAAATCGTTAACCGACAAATGAAATGTAAGTATAGTTAGCTAAAATTGTTGCGTATATAAAAATAGGTAAGTATTTTTCAATAAAATCATAATAAATTCTATTCACGATGTACTTTTGACTGAGACACCCGACGTCCACCTTAATAAAACTAAAATAATACGAAAAATAATTGATTGTGAAAAATAATAAATAAGTAAATATAAAAAAGATCATACGGATGCACGACGTCGAAGTTGATGCATCGGTTAAATCCTATTGTGTCTATATAATAATATTGTTTATACTATTCAACGCGTGCCACTAAAATTGGGCTTTATGTATTTTAAATTACAATGGAAGCTTCAATTTCGATAGAGACGATAACTAAAAAAAAAAAAACGTGATAACGAACATGTGTAAGTTGAATTCAAACTGTGTAGGTACTTATATCATATTGTAATATTATATTCTAACCTATTACCGAGAAAAAAATCTAAAAATAAAAATTGCTCGAGTATACTTAGTGCCGTAGCAAATGGCTTGTGCGATTTTAAGTTTTAATCCTAAGAGCGATAATAAATTAATATAGATAATTTATCGACAGTTAAAAACACACACACACACAAAAAAAAATTACATTCGATTACAATTAGATAGGCAAGGAAGGAGGGCAATACAACATAATAATATTTGGTATATCATAGTAGGTACGCGTGTTGCACTGTTGTGGTGACGGGCTCGGCGAAACTCGAATGGAGGTATGATAATATTATTATTTCGTCACGTTTACCGGTAACGTTTTATCTGATATTTTGGACGCATTGGATAATAATAATTTGTGGGCATAAATCTATATAAATCAGATGGATCTTGAATGGAATCGGCATCAATGACAGAAGGCTTCATTTTTGAACACGTTTTGACCGGCTGAAGAGTACGCAATACTGCGCAGGCTTCGGGATCGCTCGAACAGCGACGGGTCCGTGTAAATAGGTTCGCTCGGGTCTTCGAATCCTTTGCCACCACCTCCGCCTCCGCCGCCAACTACCATTGCCGTTGGATTGGCCGATCCCGTTTCCATCGATTCCACAGGAGCTCTGCGGGGTGAGAAGATTAAAAAAAGGCAATTATTATGTTTTTAAAAAAAAAAAACGCCATCGAAACGAGACTCGGTAGGCACGAAAACGGCAATTTTTAAAATAGAAAATGGTACACACATATTCCTTCTTACGTTTCTTTACAGACTTAGGACTTTATTTTCATTAAAAAAAAAAAAAAAACATTAGGCACGTAAAAACGATTGTGATGGATAATATTTGTGAGTACAACTGCAGCAGTTAAAAACCCGTTGCAGAATAATAATCCTGATGTGCCAAGTGAAAAATTCAAAAAAAAGCAAATTAAAAAATACTGTAACGCAATTACTTTTTCAGTAACGCAGCAGTAATTCCATTAAATTTTACTTAGAATAACTCAATTGTAACAAAATTACTTTTTAAACATTTTTTCTATGAAGTAACACACTAACGCGTTATTTTTCACGTTATTAAAATAATAGTTTTGAATGCATTACAGGCCGATAGCATATTCCAGAAAAATGAAAAATGAATTTTATTTATTTTCAATTCCAATAATAGTTAACACCATAATTAAACATTCCAAGAATGAATGTTATCACTTTATTAGCAGAAATTAAAGAGTTCGGCTTAAAAATAAAATGTAATTAAAATGAATTATGACTATATAGCCATATATGTAAGATGATTGTACATTTGTATATAATAGGTCTATATTATCACTAGGTCTATGATTGTAAAATATATACATATTATATACATTGAATCATATGAATTGAATATGGTTCAAAAAAATTATAACTTTTATCAATGATACAAAAAGTAACGTTATTTGTAGCGAATTACTTTATAAATGAAAAAGTAATGTAACGAGATAAAAATAATTTTAGGTAACGCAAATGTAATTTATATAAAAATATTTGAAGTAACAAGTAACGTGATTTCATTACTTTTCAAAATTCATTTACCCAACACCGCGGCAAAAGACGAGTAGTGAATATTATTACGTTACGAAACATTTCAAGATTATGCCTACTACGCTGCCTGGTCGTTTAAAAAACAAATAATCTTTTAACATAATATTCTGAACAACGAATTTAGTTGCCGATTAGTATAATTATTATAGTGTTATGCTCAATAAAATCATACGTATTTAATACTATCGAGTGACAAAAATAAATTGCCTCCAAAATCAATCACCTTGACCTGCAGAGACGCATGTAAATATTTCTCCTTAACTTTATAGGCACCAACCTTATGTTCAGGAACGGTTTGCGTTTTCCAAATGACATGTTCGAGAAGAAGCTGCGGCCCGAAAACGACATCCTCCCTGTCGATCCGCTGCTACAGTTGGCCGTGCTGCCCAGACAACTGTTGTTCGCCAATTCGTTTTTAGTCGCCAACAGCCAATAACGCCTGTGAGAACAATCGCACGTGTCACTCGTGAGTAAGTGAGTCGATAATAATAATTTACACATGTTACCACTATACACATAATATTATTATTATCCTGAAATTTATTTCTTCTCTGATCCGTTAAATATAATATAACAACATAAATTTCTGATGAGTCCACTACCCATGTGAAGGGGTCCTTGCAAAAACTAGACAAAGCCATTTCCATCAAAAATCTGGTTTAGATAATATTTGATAGAGAAAAAAAATTACGTACCTATAGGCAAGGCTGGGCAAGTTAATGATATTTTTTTTAACTCAGTTAGGATAAAAGTTAATAAACATTTTAACTTATAATTAAGTTAAAAAAAAGTGAATTTGCTTATACAACGCTAGCGTACTTATTTTTTTTCCAACCTAAAACTAAATTATAGACTATAGACTATAGTGTTTATACTTAATACAGTATTTCCATATAAGTTAGATTTAAATGATATACATTTTTAACTTTAAAAAATATTCAAGGTAAATATTTTTTGACATGAAAACGAAATAAACCCAAAAAGTGAAATATAATACAATTAAAAACAAAAGAAATTGACTTAACTTACTTCTTAAAATGAAAAATTAATTCGTTACTTTCACGTTAATTAAAAAATAAATTTAGCAAATTAACAGTTAACCTAATGAAAAGCCAAAAGTAACTAGTTAAGTTAAAAAGTTTAAATTAAATTAACTATTTAACTTATCTTTAACTTTTTAACTTGTATTAACAAGCCTTTCCTATTATAGGTATATAGTATATATTTACAAGGACGAGACAGATGTAATAACCTGTATAAGAAATGTAACGTACTTGGAGCTGTTTGCGTTTTATTTTATGGTGACATATTATGTTTCTTTTATATCTATTTTGTTCTGTTTATTAGATTGTTGGATTTAATTTGAATGTATCATGTATCATCTGCATTATTACAAAATAATACAAATTGGGCTAAAGTTTATTAAAATTATTAAATTATTATTATTACAGATACAGTTTTAGTCGATTATTATTTGCGATTAGAAATTTTCCACATACCTAGGTATGTGATAAAGTGTTTGTGAGTTTGACACTGAACGAGAAACCGTCGGTCAAAATATGCAGTGCTTGACTTGTGGAAAGGAGGCAGGAAGACTTACTAAATATTCAGATATTATTTAAGAGTACCTTAATTTTGTTTAGAATTTTCACAAAATTAGAAAGTTAATTTAAATTGCAATAAAAACTGTTTACAACATGTATGTAAGTGTTTACGTTGATATCTAATATAGTGATACATGATAACTATGTAAATATCATGTGTCTACATTGTGGGTACCTGTAAAGTGATAAGTTACCACGGTTGTGGATAGATATACAACCTCATGACCATGAACGATATAAGACTAAAATCCTAAGGATGATAAATATTCCTAATAGGTAGTACGAATGAAAAATATTTTAAATTATTGAGTTCATTAGATTAATAAAAAATGTGTTGTTTACAATGTTGAATATACTTTGTTAATCTCGTTGAACCTTAATGGTAAAGCATATCCTGCTGTGATAGCTTAGTATTTACATGATTTACATGTTTCTTGTATAGTTATAATTTGAGACTGATTTTAAGCATTTTAGACAAGATATTATATACATTTAATATAGACTTAATATATAATATAATGCTATTAATAACTAATATAATTATAATATTTAAAACTTTATTTTTGATTCAACAAAAAAATACCAGTTTACCTATAACCTATTATATTACCCCAATTGCTTGCAAAGTCTAATACCTACCCGTACGCATGTAGTTGAAACTTTTAACGAAAGTACCAAAGTATAATGAGCTGTGAAATATTTTTAGTTTGTGGTAATAGGTAATATATCAAAGGGTGTAATAAATCGGGCATGTAAATCAATGTCCCCACTGTTTTATTTCGTGTATTAAGCACGGACGGCATATTATTATGTTCGCGTCGACCATTGGCCATAATATGCTAATAATACAATTACCGCGATCAGTATAGGTAATTGCTTACTTGTAGTATATTCCAGCCGACATGGATACGGTGATCAAGAGTACCAAAAACATGAACAGCGAAAATACCATACTGTAATATTCCCTGCTCGTCAAACAGACGCTCTGAGGAGCCGGTTCTGAGGTCAGAAGTTGTTCCAAAGGCATATCGTATCGACTTTCGTACACCTGGAAAATAGAACCATCGGGTAAACAGTGCATTCTGACAGCTAATGGTTATAACGGTTTCTCTAAAATTACCTCTATGACTTGCCGCACTTTCTCTTCTTCGCCGGGTGTTGTTTCTGCTGATTCTTTTTGTTTTTCTACTGCCGTGTCGTTCTTATCGATACCACCCACGTCCCTACGACGTCTGCCCAACGACGGTTCCGTTCTCCCGGCGTGCAATGTACAATACGCCTGTAAAGATTACAATTAACGATCAAGAACGTCGATGACAATATAACTTAAATATTATTACCGGTTGACACCCGTCCCGACATGTCCTGACGGTAGCTTCGAACACCAAGAAATTCGATTCTGGGATTTTGAAAGCGTTAAATCTCGCTTCTAGGCCATCACCCTCCCGAGCCTTATCCAGCCCGGGAAATACAAAGTTATCCACGGGACATCTGAAAATAAAGATCAGAAACAATTATTTCGTGTTCGTTGAAATATTTTCACAGATAATGAAACCAAAAAAGGACCATTTTCTGAAACGAAAAGTGTGTGAGACTTACCCGTAACGATCTATCAACTGCACACTTCTACCACTGTACGGATCCCTAGCAATGACGTTGGTGGCGAAAATGTCACTGGCGTAGTTGTATCCGTCTTGAGCCTCCAGTCGGAATGTCAACGGGTCTCCCACGGCAATGGTTTGAGTAGGTCGGCCCTGGAACAGTATCATCAGCCGCACACGCGAACTCAGCGAATTCTCGGCCGGTAAGTATTCGATAGGAATCGGACTTCCAGAACTGTAAGCGGAAATCAAGTGTTAAGCACCCAAAGTACACAGATGCAGATGATCAACATGCTCGCTGTATATGCCACTTACTTTGCGGTCATGTAGCTCGAAGTGACGACAGCCTCCCCTGGGCCTCGAAATAAACATGTCAGGTTGTATCGCTTGTCTCGGCTAGTCTGCACGTAATCGCTGAACTGTACCACGACTATGTTGGTCATTGTATCTCCATACTAGTCAATAATCATAATATACACCTCGTAAGTGTCTTATTGAAAATATGGTTTTTGAATATTGTATAACATTTTGAATCGAAATAACTTTAAAAGTGCCTACTTCGAGTAAAATGCACAAACCCATATAGATCAAATATTATATTACCTACTATGTACTATGTAGGTTACTATAATATTATATTATATTATTGTATTCTTACTATCATTAAGTCGTATAAGGAGTATTTCATTTAAAGTTATGATACTTATATGAAAACATCGAGATTCAGATGCAGATAATATATTATTGTTAAACGACAATCAGTTATAGTATTATAAAAAATAATCATGATTTAAAAATTTAGAATTTGTGTGTTGTACGCAGTAAATTATTTTTATAACTATTATTGTATTCTAATTATTCTAATAATTTCCAATATACGACAACTACACTTGCAGTAGACAACATTATTTTAGTGCTTGTGTTCGCACATCTTTGGCTTCATGTTATAGGTACAATTTGTTTATAACTAAGCGTAATTAAATCCATCACAATAATATTACCCGTTGAGTTCCACAATCTGGATATCCCTGAGCACCACTAATCCGTAAAACGTTTGCGGTTCCACCATTACCCCTGTAGAAACATCTGTCGTAAAATCCGTGAGTGTATATTCGCCCTAAGAACCCTTCTGGGGTACGCAGCGTAAATTCCATTCCATCTTCGCTGCACACTTGGGTCACTGGAAGTCGTATAGGAAACCGAATGAATATCGTGAAAAACTTGAATTGACTCGAAGACAATTCGTTATTTTCTTCAGACGCGAATAAAATACGTACCGTCCAAACACTCTTGACTGCTTCTACTGCCCATTGCGGATTTTTCGTAAAAATCGTATTCCGGCGCGTTCTCAAAGAATGCTGGATTTCCCATATCGACAAATCGTGTTTCCTGGTCGCTCAACTCGCAATTTTCTCTCTGCGTCCCGTATGGTGCGGTTCTGTGAATGGCAATACAAAATTAATAACCTATTTACAGAGTTAAATATAAAATTGTTTTTTAATATTGACTATTCCGGTCCAACAGTTTTATTAAAATATATGTAGTCCGTTTTTCAATTATATTTTGGTTTACTATTATTTATTTATTCATTTTATTTTATGGGAAACGTTTTTACAAGTATAATTGGATCAATAGAAATAATTGAATTCAATAAAAAAACACATCACTCACCTGTAATTGAATGATCGACAGTTGAAGTCTCTGACCATCGAGCATTCACGTTCACAATGTGATAATGTAGGTGCAGTTATGAAACGCTTAATCAGTCCTCTTGCCATTCGCATTCGCACACCCATCTATTATGTATCGGAAAATATATTAATACACATTCAATTTCAATTTTATTTATTTTGCGATGTCACCTGTTTAAATCCATCAGATTCGTCACATCTTATGTTGAACGGTCTATTAGCATCAATTCCATTTCCACCAATTCCTCCAATGCCACCAACACCTCCGCCATAATATCCTGGCACAGATGGTATGCCTAAAGGAGGTCCAAGAGGTGGTCCTCCAATCGGTGGTAGTCCACCTGGTATAGCCGAAGGTGTGTAGGGTGGTATTGACGACCCAATAACAGCTGGTGTTGATCCAAATCCATAATTATTGACGCCTATTCCTCCACCTCCTTGTCCCAGAAAAGGAGGTATGTCCGCTCCATGACCTCCAACATGGCCCCAATATCCTCCAGGTGCTTCACTGGGATAGGGCCCGATACTTGAACTTAAACCTCCTCCTCCTCCACCACCTCCTCCACCTATTCCACTTCCAGCAGTACTGGAATAGCCGGGATACGATCCTCCTCCATAAACGCCACCAAATCCACCTCCTGTTATTATGGTCATAATTATTCATGTGGTTTTACTATTTTAACTCTAATCATAAAACTCACCTATTGGTTTCCCAGGTGTGGGATAAGGTGGTTTACCACTACCTAGGAAATTCGATCCTTGTCCCAAAGGATCAGGTCTTGTGAACGGTGGTGAAGTAGCACCCCCGTCTAAAATTACATTATAGTAAATTTTTGTATGTAAAATTACTAAAAATATATGTATGCATATAAAAGATTTTTATTTATTTATCGTAAAATTAAATATTTCTCAACATTCAACGATAGCTGTTAATGCTATCGCTGAATATAATTATACGAGAATTATACTAGAGCTATAAGACAATATAATATATAAATTAAGTAATATTTTAACTAATTTTTGAGTTTATAAATTTGTTCCACTCACTCATTAAGTTTTCGTAGTAATCGTAATCTGCGTCGTATATCACACGATGTCCATCCCTCTGGTTAAAACGGCTGAGCCGACAAATTCTAAAACGTTCGCTATAGACGGCCGACCGACATTGGAAGCTCACTTGTCGCAGACATTCGTCCAGACATTCACTCAACGACCGTCCAGTGATTTCCGAATGAAATTCGCCACCGAGTCTGCTGTTCCGGTACCGTTGAAAAGCTGTGTCTGGTCTTCGTCCGTCGGCGAAAAGGTGTGACGTCAACGTGTTGTCTGAGAACTCGTTGCCTTTGGCTGTAAGCAAATCACCACCTGATATTTCGTTAGAGATTTGCGCACACACTTTGGGTAGGTGATATATTATGATAAAAGGGGGGTGTCTTAAACAAATCATAAAGACTTACGGTTGTCTAGACAGACTAGGTCGTATAGGTCATGTGTCGGACTACTGCTCACTCTTAGGTCATCCTTCTGTGACATCGAATCCTCTTCAAATATAATACACCGACGAATTTGCTCGTCGTACTCGACTGACCGACAAAAATATCTAAACTCACAATAAAACAATCAATTGTTATATTTTATTTTTACTTTAATAGGTTGTTAAATTTTTTAAATTATTTTCACTTTTCAGCTCGTAAACACTGCGCTTGACATTCAATCAACGATAGATTAGCAAATATGTCCACTTCAAAAGGTCCTCCCAACCGCTTATTTTCTTCTTTTACAAATATAACCGGTCCATCACAGCGTCTTTCAACTGTGAATAATATACAAATATCGTTTTATAATGGTATTATAATATTAAATAATATTAATGAAAATATTACAGATATAATCAATTTATTATTTCTTAGAAGATTTCGCTTATTACCATTGAGACACGTGTTTTCTAAATAATCGGAACTAGGATCTTCTTCTAACAATTCCGGATGCGATCTTCTGGTGAACCTGCTTAGCCAACAAGTCTTGGATGCTGAGTCGTAAGTAGCCGATCGGCAAACAAACGTAAATTCATTCAAACACTTATCTTCGCAATCTGTCCGATTAGCTGCTATCATTTCCTTGTATTCACTAGGTGGTAACTTAAGTTTCTTCCTGGTATGCCTTTCGAAAACATAATGTCTGTTCGGACATTCTCTTTCAATTCTACTAGCTGTAAACAAAACAAATAACATCAACTTTGTTGGACTTCGTTGGTCCACCCTAGGACTTAAGTTATGTGCAAGAGCACACACTTTGTGAAGTTTAAAATGTTTAGTAAGGAGTAGTAGTAGTAGTAGTAGTAGTAGTAGTAGTAGTAATGACCAAGAATTATAAAATCGAGTATATTTAAAATTTATAATGTAACGAAGGTCGGTACCTATCTTACAATATTTTATAAGTTTAAAGTTATCATAGATAATTATAATATTGACATTTTATAAAAAAAAATTATAAAAAAATGCATATTGAATGGGAGGTCAGCTTATTTTCATCACAAATTTGGTGTGGGTGGGGGGAAGCCAAAAATGGATTTCAATACAAAGGACAATGTATCTAATTAATTCAGTCCCCAGTCTCTTAGACTATAAGTTTTAGTAATCATTACCTGCAGTGTACCAAAAATCTTAGATTACAAAAATTGTTCGTTTATCATTATGTATGTGTATAAACACTAATTATAATTTGTTATTTAAACGTTTTAAATGTCATTTCAGTTATTATCAACCATATGTTATTATGTTTTTTATAAAAATGCCTAATGAATATGGAATAAATTTTAGAAATTAAATATTAAATTTTATATTTTAAAACACCTGTTAACTTTTATAAAACACTTTACTGAAACGTCAATGATAACAATAAGTGTTATCTTTATTTTTAAACAATATGTACAATCTGTACCCCAGCTATGGTACAATATACGTTAAAAAAGTAATAATATACAGTGAATAGTTTGACGGAAAAAGATAAACACAAGAAGTTATCATAAGAGTAGGTACCAATATAATATTTTAAAGCCAGGAAAAATATATTTAATAAAACACCAAACTACATTGTGTGATGTGAAAAGAAGCTTCAGCCAATATAAATCAATACTACGATCAGTACGATCCAATCTCCGACCGTTTATTTTCAAAAATATGTGGTCATCGCGTATAATAATACTAAAACGATCAGTGAAACACTTCGATTAATATCGATTAATAAATACATTGTATGTGTATTTTGAAAATAATAAAAAGGATATTTATTTTCATTGTTGTTATTAGCACACAACTTCTAGTCCTGTTAATGACTGTCGATATAATAATATGCTAATACAATATATTTTATGTATTTTATTTAGTATAAAACGATTTGGAAAAAAAATTAGATTTTTCATTGAATGGTTTCAAGTAAAATTTGCGCTCTTGATATTGACATAATTAACCGTCTTTTTAAAAGCATTGTTGATGTGTAGTAAGTACCTATATAATAGGTATAACCACCATATAATGAACAATAGTTATCTTTACCATCAAACTTTTTATTCTCTCTTTTTATTATAAATGAGAAAATACAAAAATGAGACGAAATTATAATAATGTATTATAACGACTGTAATATTATGTATTATGTAGTGCGTTTAGCGTGTTAAAATTGTTTTTATATGCAGTAACAATCGTATATTTTGCTATATACTCATATTATACATAGGTATTAGATGTGTTTCCAAACAATAATTTTATTCAATTCAAATTATGTAATTATGAATCATAATTATTATGTCGGTATAAAAAATAACTTTACATGCATATTCGAAAATAATGAACTAAATTGAACTTCCCATCAATTTAAATCGCGATCGGTATCACATGAGGTCATTAACCTCATGTCGATCACATAACGCAACATTATGGTTGGTTGCACACAGTGTGTTTGACCGGGGGTGATTATTATTGTCCAGAACAAAGATAATTTGTACGTCAATCGAGGCCAGTGTAAAAAATAAAAACAGAACTTTTGGAATACAATGGGATATCAGTGGATCCAAATGCATATTATAGTATTGCATTTAAACTATTTACGTTCATATTATTATGGTTAAAATGTCTGGAGGAAAACGAGAAATATTATATTTCATTGTAATAACATAGGTAATATGTGTATAAAAATATGTACTATAAATCATCTATGCGATCAGTTTTTTTGTCATTTTATATATAAAAGTTAAAAATATGCTGTAAACCTATCTGTGGATGAAATTGTAAATAACAATAGGTACCTAGCTACATACGTAAGAAAAAACGTAATATCAAAATGTATTCTCCCAAGACTAAAGGGCCTAATAAAATACTCGTAGGTACACAGTAATTTGATATATTATTTAGAAGCCAAATACTTTAGGACAATATGATTTTCTGATTGTCGATTTTATCTATTAAACAAATATCTCGTTCTCGTACCGATATTATAGAATTTTGAAATATTGCAATTATTTACGATATATCCTAAATTCATAGTTATATTATTTGTGAACGCGTACCAATAATTTAAAGAGTTTAATATTTTAACCTTTAAAAGTTCTTTGCAATGAATATAATAACATTAGGTACTACTCTGAAATGAGTTTAAAATGAACGTTATCCTATCTTAAAATTTAAATCGATATCCACTAGAATGACTATAGTACCTATACCTATACATTTAGTGGTGGGCGGAATCGCTCAATTTTGCGTCAACTTTCCGATGGAGTTGTGGGCAGTGGTGTTGAAGTCTATGCTATAAGGTCTATCCACGGCCCGACCTTTTTCGGCCACTTTTTATTTACATCATAACTTTATTGCGAGTAAATAATGTATATTAGAGTATACTGATGGTGGGTGGGTTGGTGGTGGATGTAAACAATTAAATATGAAATTGCATCAGATAAAATTTTAGTTCAGTCTGCCACTGCCTATATTGATGTAAATATTATACCGATTGATTAGTCTGTAACCTTGCAGTTAACAATATTTAAAAAAGCATTTACTAACCCTTAAAATTAACAATAAAAAATAAAAATAAAGAAAAAATACTTTTGTTGATATAACATTAATTCCTTGATAATATTTAAGTATATTATTTTGGTTTTATTATTTTATTTTTATATCTAAACCGAGTCCTTCCATGACTATAAGTAACCTAACAGTATTGAATTACAATTTACAGCGAGCAAAAAATAATTTTAATAATAATGTATTTCATACCATATTTTGAAGTCAAAATTTTTGGTTAACTAAGTACTTAGTACCTATTTATTAAACAATACAGTTTTGAATGAAAAAAACATAACAATAACAAAATAAAATGTCAACATATTTTATGTTATAAATTTATTGTGCCTACTGATTAGAAAATATATTGTGATAAAATTTGAACATTTAAAATGATTTTATAACATGTTTTAAATGTTTAAACACCTACCTACTATTAATGTCCATTACTAATAAATTAGAACATTTTAATATTACAATATTAAAAACAAAAGTATACTATTGATCTGTATTAACCTATGAAGGGTGTCAGTGCCGGTTTTTCCAATTTTCCGAAATCCTATACAATTTGAAAATTATATTTTATATTTTAGTTACTACCTTAATTATAATACTTTTCTACTAATCTACAGCTCGATACCTCGATATTATAGGGCCTGGTCGCGACCTGTTTTTTTGCTCAAAAACATGCGCCTTAAAGGAAAAACTCTCACGCCTTGTAGATTGGTCCGATTTCCGTAATTTTTATTTTGTTAAATAGAGGAAGACGTATTGCAGGCCCATTGGACTTGGATTTTCAAAATTATTTTTCGAAATCTTATATTACAAGTTTGAATTTAATCCATTTTTACAACTTTTTAGTTTTTGTATTATTATTTATTTTTAGCAACGTAATCAAAAATCAAAGTCCAATGCACCCTGTAAAAAATATTCTTCTATCTAACAAAAAAAAAATTACGGAAATCGGACCAATCTACGAGGTGTGAGAGTTTTTCCTGTAAACTGTGTTTTGACCGATATAATACACCCTATCAACCCCCCCCCCCTAAATAGGTATTGGGTAGTAGATTAGTAGAAAAGTCTTATAATTGAGGTGGCAACTAAAGTATAAAATTTAATTTTCAAATTTTATAGAATTGCGGAAAATTTGAAAAATCGCGACCAGGCCCCTTATACGTATTATCGTACGGTGTATTATTTCAACAAAGATTACTTCACGGGAAAACTCTCAGTTTTGACTGTAGAATAGTCGGTTTTTGTTATTTTATTTCTATTTAAAAGGAGACAACATTTTTCTGGTCGGATTAAAGGCTGAATTTTTATTTTACTTTAAATAGTGGTAGAAAAATACGTTTGAAAAATAACAAATATTGTGCATTATTCAAATGCATATTTTAGCTTCTATAATTATGATAATTTTGAAAAGCTGGCTTTAATCCGACCTGAAAATTAATGTTCTCTTCTTTTAAATAAAAAAAAAAATTAACAAAATCAGACTAATCTACAGGGCGTGAGAGTTTTTCCTGTAAGACATGTTTTTGTACTAAAAAAGCACACCGCCTCCAAAGCCCTTAATAGTTGTTGGACTTTATAATAAAATAAATTATTCAGTTAAAACTTTATACGAATCAAATGACAAAAATCTAAAACCTAACGATATTATAATACGGAATCGATCATCGGCGATAGGTAAACTAGTACAATATCTATCAATTGTTTATAATCGAACCTCTATGGATGGACGTGTCTAATGAGCTGAGCTAGGTGACAATTTATTTATACATTATAAATATTGTATATCTATACATAACATCGTCCTCCACTATTGACATGGAAGCCTTGATTATTAATTAGTGTACGCGTTGAGTTTAAAACAGTGCACAAAATTAATAATTATAAGCGACTGGTACACACACCGAGTGAAACATAATAATATATTATAGTATATACCTATTTAGGATTTATTTTCTTATTTCAAGTATACAATAATATTATGTAAGTGGAAATTGACTAATGATTCAAAACCGAATTGTCAGGAAACAAATTAAGTAGGTCGCGTTTATATAATGTATTATGTAGCCAAAGGAGCTTTTTCTTACATAAAATCATCGTATAGTTGCGTATTAACCGTTTTGTCATTGTGTGAGTAGTAAATGAACCTTAGTGTGTGTAATCCATTATCTGGGCCATTATCGTGTTATCGTAAAAAAACCGATAAATCGGTACAAAATAGGATTTTAAATTTTAACATATTTTTTAAGCCTTATTGAATACAAAAATCAAAAATCTGTTTCCTACATAATCTAAAAAAGGATATTATGAGTTCATACATATTTTTAAAATAATAATTGGACATCGTTAAGTACATAAATTAATCTTCCGCTTATTGGTCTAAAACTACAAAATAATATGGTGTGCTCCAACAGCCTTAATTCTGATTCTATATAATACAATGAATTCCTCCGTGAAAAGAGGGCACTTCCAAATAGCGATATTTTTTTTAGAGAACACTTTCTAAACTGAACCTTCTGAATAATTGACACCTACGAATAGTGGACAAAATTACAATAATCCAGTGTGTCCGGTATATAGATTTTTCTTTATAATAATTATTACCTATGCCGTTGTACGTAGGGAATTTCAATCGTATGGGACACGCTATTCCAACGAATTTCGGTAGCCAGGTACATATTATTATGTAGATATAGTTACTGACTTATAATTAGTATTTTAAACCGGTGGTGTGGTACTAATGTACTATATAATATTAAATTGCAAAAAAAAGCAAAAAATTGTCTACTATCTTTTTTTTTTTATTACACCGTTTATTGTCACGATGTTTGAATCTCATTGAAAGAGTAGGTAATTGCAAAGGAGCTTAGTCACATTTACAATACGGTCAGTTTTTTGATCAGTGAAGAGTATTTTGCACTGATGCACACTATAATTCTTCATTCTCCAGCCAATGACATGATAAATTAGTATAAAAGAAAACATCTATCAAGCTGATACCTAAAAAGATTGAATAACAAGTTCAAATGTTCAGTGAATATAGTTCATACATACATGTTTTTGAAATGAAGTTGTTTTTGCTATTTTTGTGAAAACACTTTTATGGGTGTCCTAAGTTGGGTTAGGATAGGCCCAAACGACTCTTATGGAGTAGGTTAGGTACCTTAGAGAATAGGGAATTGAGTGTTATTTTTTTTCCACGAAAACCTAAGCGTATCAATAACAGTATATTATTATTAGTATATTACCTAAGCGAATCACGAAAACCTGACGACAACAATTGAAATGTAATAATACATTAAATATTATTCACCTAGTGTCAGTATTATATAATTTATATAATATTATGTAATGCAGATATAATTTTTCTGATTTTATTTTATTTTATTCATCCTCGAAGGCATTGTTTATATTTATTTATGATCCACATAATGCGATTTCAAATAAAAAATTCAAATGGAATAGGATTTCTAAGCAAGTAAATTAATTTATAAATATATTTTAATTTTTCACTTTTTGAAAGGTTCTGATAAACAAAAATAACTTTTACATTTCTATGCAGCTAACTTTTCTGTATGTTGAATTGTCAAAAAATTATTTATTGATAATTTGTGAAAATGTTCGACATTTATATGGAACAAAAAATTAATTGACTTTGAATACCTTCCTATTCACATCACACAGTTCGTTCCATTCTAAAAAAAAAAATCTAAAATGACCATTGCCATTGTTCAAAAAAATGATTATCATCATAGATAGGAATTAACAATAGAAACCCGTTAAACCTAAAATGACAGTTCTCCATGTTAAACATACTATATTATGATCTATCTTATTTTTTCATAACATATTGATTGAACTCATTATTATAATATATCAGCTGTTGAAATTTTAGCTTAAACGAATAATGTCTACCAAGTCTACAGTAGATCTCGTCCAATGGCAATTGCCAATTTGCATTGCTATCATGGTTAACAATATTATTCCCTCCCTGTGACTAGGAGCCGATCGGTTAAGTGCTTTGTTTATCTAGTTTTTCCGATCCTAAATTTCTCTCCAAACCCCTTTCTAATTCTATTGATTCCTCTTTTTCACTATTTACAAATAGCAGACGTTATAGCATCGTAGTCCAACCTGAAACACTTCTCCTTTTCATATCTCACTAACAATTTAGCCAATTATATCCCCTTATCCGTCAATCGAGGCTTGTCTATTAAACCCGTTATTTTCTCTAAAAAGACCTAAGAATCATCTGCTTGAAACTAATGAAAGACACATTTAAATATATAATACATAGACATTTTTACACTATGTATGATTAATGATTTATGATTAGCATTAAGTTAGGTAGCACTATTTATCTTATTGTGTTTTATATTTTATTCCGTGTTACCATATTCAACTATATATATTTTATTTGTCTTTAAACTCCACGAATTGTATTTCTACCGATAACATAATAATATTATAATGCCTGAAAAGTATACTCTGTCACTATTATAGCTGCAACCTGTTGAACAGGCAGTTTTATATTATTTTAAATAAAAGTTGTTCTCCCTCATCAAACTTACGTCTAGCCACTGTTCCTCGTTTATTTTTGTTATTGTTTAATACTGCAGATGCATTGTCATGTTAATTTTGTCAATCGATGTTTAAAAAAAGAAAAGTCCGGCCGTAACACTATTAAATAATTATTATAATATCTAGATTTATCGATTATAATTTTATAAGTACCGATATTCATGCGACTTCGGCACTCACCACGTTTTAGAGTTATGCTTAAGACACTATACTTAGCGATAAAAAATAAAATAAAACTCAATATCACACTGAGCATCATTGTACTTACACGACAGACAGACTTCGGTGTAGTGCACGCTATTGGGCACCAGTACCAAGACACCAATGCCTTCGGGGTGCGCCTGTTCCCTGGTCAAATAGCACGTGGACTCTTCGTACTCCACAGTGCCACTGAACGACGCGATCCTGCTGCCCGGCTGGAAGTCAAACGACGTGCACGTCCTTACCAAGTTGTTGGTAGCCGTGCGGTCACGAAGGCACAGCTCTTGGCATTTTTCCAGTACCCGGAATGGCGGAGCCGTGTCGCGCACCTATGCAATATTTACGTATACATTTATTACATCCATGGCAAATCCGTATTATGGTGGGTTAAGGGGCCGAGTTTAGAATATTATCCAACTCGATCGAGATTACACTTTCAAGTTTGAGGGAGGAGGGGGGAACTTGTAACATTTTATTCCGACAAAATGATGTTTGCTTTTTTTTATAATAAAAAGAGATGTGAAATTTACCAAAAAACAGTTTTAAAATCTTAACGAGTTTATTTAGTTATGTTGAAAATATTATTATTGTGAATATTTTTTTTTCAGTTAAATCATTTAAGGTTTTTGGTACTAAAATATAATAATATGTGATTTAAATAATCCTTGAAAAGTACGATTAAAATTTAATGTACGTTATCCAACAATATTGTTTAAGTAATTTTTAAAGACATTTTCATTTTTAAATATATCTGCAATTGCTTTTCTATGTAAATTTAATTTGTAAATTAAAACAAATTGTTATTTGTATAAAAATTCCAATTCCAATTTAGTTCTATAGTTGTTCCCGTTGTAAATTATTATGCCAACTACATTACATTAAATATATACCCACCAAACTATCTGTGTGTTGCAATAGCTATACTAATATTATGTTGTAAAATTAATTTACACTAACCAATTCAACGTAATAAACTAATAAACAAAGAAAATGTTACTTTTAAAAGGTTATAGGGCTTCAACATATAAGATCACTGTAATTATTCTTAATTTTCTGAATAATTAGTTTTTTTATTTTTTAGTGTACTTAAATATTTTTGTAATAACCTTTATATAATATTATAAAAAAAAAAAAATTATGAATTTAAAATATATTGTACTTTATGTTACTAAATTATTTATAATCATTTATAATTTGTAATCTTGTATGACGTACAAATTACGAACATATTTAGAAATTTAATAATTTGATAGAAAAATTGCAGGTCAACAGTGAAGATCTCAAATATAGTACATAATAATATTATACCTATATAATATTATTATATACGATTATACCTATATAATATTATTATATACGATTATTAGAAATTCGAAACTTTTTCAGTTATCATAATAGGTAGGTATCATACGAAAGTTTTAAAAACTAAAGACGTACAATCGTTTATGATTTTAGTTTTTTATCAAAAATTGTTGCAAAAATCGGTTTATCAACGAATTTCCAAAAAAAAAAAATAAATTGAATTGTTTAAACATTGACCACGAGTAAAAATCAAAGAGGAACCGTGCCAAGCTCACATAAACGATTTGGGTGATAGTCGATTGACTAAAAAAATATACTCACTACGTCGTCGTCGAATCCTTGTAACTGTTGGTCTGGTAGTCTTTCGTAAACGATTCGGCCGATGCCTTGGTTGCACGTTGTTTGTGCTGGAAAAAAACGAATTATCGAGTATAATATTACAACATTCCCAGCTACATATAATATATTTATAAAAATATGGATTCATCCGTTATATTTTGTTGTGCCTCTAAAATCGAATAAAAAACGAAATCGCTCGTTTGTGCAGAAGTCATATTATTATTACCGGAGGAGTATGTTGCTGAAAACACCATGAAATTAGCCAAGTACGGCAAGTAATGAGTTAGTTTCATTTTGGCTATCGTGGACCTTAAAGGTTTGGTTATTAGATCAAATCTGCGTGCATGCAGATCTGTATTAAAATTAAAACAAATATGAAAGACTTATTGGAATTTCGAAATTATAATTGTTTGTAACTATGAAGAAATATACTGCTGGAGCTGTACGAGTATTAACGGTTTAGGAACATAGTATTATAATATAATAATAAATGTAGGAACGAATAACGATACACGATAATAATATAATATGAAATCTAAAAACAGTAAATAATGTTTTCGTCGTCGCGGTGTGATGAGAACTAGTTATGGTTTGGTATAATGTGTTTAGCTATAGAAAATTCCAATAGTATGAAAAGACAAATAAATGCAAATCATACGTGTCAGTTATGGTGTGGGTTTCAGTGGGTAGGGGCTTATTAATTTGTGTCAAGTACATTTATCAATTAAACTATCGATACATGCGTGCTTTAAAATTAATGCTATACCGCAATTGTCATTAATACTGAAACTGTAAATAATTTTAATGCAATAGAATATCTTATTATTATTGCGCTGTAATACAAAATAAAGGTAATTCATTTTATGTATAAATTAACGTTGTCATTACTCATTAAATATAACTTATCAAATCAACATTAAATTATAATAACATAATAATATAATATTATTATTGCTACTTTTAAAATTAAAAATATTTTTCAATCGTGTGACGGTATCAACAGTTTTGGATTTTTTTTTAATAAACAGAATTATTTTTAAGTTATCATCACACTGACAGACAATCTGTACTGATAAATTTACAAAAAATGACAAAATGTCAGTAAAATATGTTCTATATTTTAACTATATTATGTAATAAAATAATGACGAGCAACATAATATTATGCAACACAAGTGACGACAGTGAGCTAACTTAAAATATTTCTCTGTCAGTCATCTTATAAATGTGTTGACTAAAATTACAATATATTTATGAAGTATGTAGGTATGAACTTACGTTGTCTTTGTATTATACATTTTCTAGGAACATTAAAAACATTTTTCTTTAATTTTTATCAATAATATTGTTTTGATGATTATAGTTAATGACATTTATTACGTAAAGTTACGTTGGTTAACTTAAAAAATGCTAATGCATATTATATAGATGACAACAATATATTATTATACAACCGTTTTGTTTTTTTAAGACGGCGTATCGAATAGGCAAAAGTGATACGCGCAGGACTACGACGACTTTGTTCGTTCAAGATCTATAATAATCATAATATTGCAGCGATTATCCCATAATCATAAAGCAGCAACGAGGCTATAAAAGATTCATAATTTTTTTCATTATAACATTGCACAATGATTATTTAACTTGATTCAATTTTTTTGGGCTAGGTCAATGGCGGAGACGAGGGGAAACGTCTGCGTGCAGAGGTTGGTAAACCCAGCGGTAACAGGACCGGAAACAAGGAAAACTCGCCGTGACTTCCTGCACAGCAGACCGCCGGTCAACGTTCGATTGTTATTTGACACAGTTTGCCAGGTCCCATTAGCGTTGGTCGAACAAAAAAAAGCACAATGCCCAAAATCCGTTACTGTGTACAAAAGTCCACCATAACCGTGTGTTAATCCGGTTACTCACAATAACGTGTCACAATAATGATACGTATTGTGTGCGGTGTTTGAATTTCGCGACTGCTAACGATTATCAAAGACAACGGAACGGAATTTGATATCGTGCAAGACCCTACACGGCAAGTCTGTCGAGCGAACGTTTTGACTCTTTTCAGGACACGAGAACGAAACGAGGCGGACGATTTTTTTTAATAATATGCAAAGAATTTCCAAATGTATATAAATCAAAATCATACAAAAAAATATAATAAATTATTATTTATATTTTAGGCACTGTATATTATATTATATACATCGATAAAGCGCGTTTTGGTTATAGTACCTACTTGTTTGAACATCGTTTTTGGTCTACAACCCTATATACAATATAACTAAATGGTGCATGCATAGTGTACGTCTTTATACACACACTATCGGTGCATGTTCATAGTACTCTTTATGATTTCGTTAAAATATAAAATTGTATTTTATTTGGGCCATAGAAATACAACTCCTGCAGTACTTGATATCACTAAGAACATACAAGATGAATCGATGATGAAAAACAATTTTATTCGTTAGTTTAATATTATGTATTATCACAAGATAAATATTGTATATTATTATTATTATTATCATCATTACAATAATATTATTTATAATTTTATAAATTCCACAAAAAACGTTTAACGATTAACCAAATATACTTATAATATGTAACCAATGATCTTTATACCAAGGTTATATCTCAGAACTGGCCGTTTAATGACAAAATATATTTTTATATACGGTTTCGTCAAACCTCGGCGACTATCATATTAGTTAGATTTGATAAATAAAATAAATGTATTCTCGCTAGTTTCTTGGCAACATTGGCGTAGGCCGTAGATAATAAACTATTATGTTTCCTAACCATCACGATATTCGTTGGCTATTTTATCACATATTTACCTACCCTAGAAAATTGTTTGCTAAAAATCATCAGTTGTGTTTATGAACTTATGAACAAAAATATTATATTAAGTAATCATTAATTATTATTGGTGTTTCTAACCTTTACAGAAACCAGATGAAAAATATACAAAAAAAAAAAATCTAATCTGGGTACCTACATCAATGAAACCATATTGTTATAATATAATTGGTTTTGATTCAGAAGTAATAAACTGTGTTAAAATTATACCAGTATTTTTAGTAATTATTGACATTTTGAATTTATAACATTTTGTAGGTAGCTAGTAGCTACCTACCTATTATATACTCATAATATATCATAAATACTAATTAATAATTTTTTATTATCTTTAGTTTTGAATATTGTTAACTTCGCGAAGTTATTTTTGCGATTTGTTCGTCGTGTGGCAAATGTCGATGATGAATCGCTAATCAGTAACAAAATTACAAAAATCTAAACTTCAAGCACTGTAAGTATATACAATAAAATAAATTACTTAATATTGCTCCTCGTTTCCAGTGGATCAATGAAAAAGATATTATGAGGTTATAAAGTTGTCTATAAACAGTAAGAGGCGATTCGTAGTCAATAATATGGAATTCGTGTGAATTCAATGACTTCATAAAATACATTATGATATCGATTTTCATTCGCTATCGATGTCTAGACAAGTTTAATTTTTAAACCTATATATTAAGTTGATTCTACAATGAAATTCTGGATACATAATTATTTAATTGTTATGTAATGTATAAAATCTCCTCTTTCGATTGACACAATAAATTCGTAAAAATACAGACACACGCATAATACATCGCAGCTATAATGTGTGTAGTATTATGTGAAGTGCTTATTATAATAATTTGGTCCTTTAACACTTGTTGGCTATTGCGAATCACTCATGCAATAACTTGTGGCGTTCGGATCTATGCGACAAAAGAGTGCAACGAACCGCGCGGGGTGTTATCACTACGATCTAGGATACGCACTCTCGACGGCCATGGAACATTCGCAAAGTCGGGACTAATTCAAAATAAAATTATGTCCTGTAGTATTGTAATACGCTGGGCTAGAAATCTAAATTATTTACACAATTAAATTTGCCACAATGCTCTATTATTGGCCGTCACATATTTTATGGATGATATTATAATAACGCGTAGGTATTCGCAACAATTTAATTTCGATCGTTATTGATATTATTTGTTTCACAATAATAACATGGGCACGTCTGCACTGCGCCAGTGGGCATTTTTTGTGCATTTTTCACCAAATATTTTTATTGCAAATTTGCCATTTTTCTACACATGTTAATACAAATTAAAAAATATAATGTTGACTATTTCTGAGCGATTCATAGACTTTTGATATTTTATAATTTATGTATGATAACATTTTGTTTGTGAGAGAAAAGGCTTGACAATTATATAACTTGGTTCCTGTTAGTTTTTCTTACCACAGTTAAAACACGTACCTATTGTGACATTTAAAAATTAAATAAATTTTTTTTATGCAATTTAAAAAAAAAGACTAGACTAAACTGACATACGTTTTTTATAGTGTTCGTAGTTCAAGCAATTATTGTTGTTTTGTTGTAATTCAAAAAATTATTATTATTTGTTGAAACATTCCACTAATACTTGAATTATAATTTTTTATAAGCATTGAAATATTTAAATAATATTTAGATTAACTTTAAACTAATTATAACCTTATAGGCATTTGAAATTTTTGAATTTTTTTTTTTAGTTTATTTTTCTATAAATGTCGATGTACGGTAAAAATGTCTATGTCAAAATACTTGAAAACTTAATAAAAGATATATGAGTTGCACTCATAGCAATTTGAAAATATTGAATGTACATATTATTATGATGTGAACAGTTTTTTTTATAATTTTTGAAGTTCAAATTTTGCCAAAATAGTCAAAACCATGACAATTTTCAAATCATTTTGTAGTTTTTTTTATACAGATTTCTAGTTCTTACGAAATTTGATAACTGAACATCGTAATTTAAAGAATATTGTTCGTAGGAAATTAAGTATAATCATTTTGTATATTATTAAAATCAACTATTCGCATGTAAATCTTCAATTATATTACCTTTTCTTAATTTACTTAATAAGTTAGTAACAGTTAGTAATATTATATGAACTAATATTATAATGATTATGTATAATGTTTACCTATACACTATAATAAACATATTTTACATCACTATAAATATGCTACCTATATTTTTTTTGGGCCAAAATTAGTTCGACAAACTTTTATAGTTAATATTTATTGAAAAAAAAATTAAATTAAAATTTAGTGTACATTATATAAATATGTGTCACGTTATGGTTATGAAATCGTCCATTTCAATAGCTTGCCGATGGATGATGCCTAGTAAACAAGTTCCAAAGTGAAAATATTTTATCTAAAATCTAACTATAATTTATTTAGTATCTGCGTTACAACTTACAAACTTCCAAAAACCTTACTGGGGACAGTGAATTTATATAATGAGTATAACTTAATAAAGTTATAAAAAACATTATCACTTCAGCATGATGTACTACTGAACTCGAAGTTCGTGCGATGGCCGTTTTTTTTGGCTGATCCAAGAGACTAAAAATTAGAAATAATCTAACTCCTTTATAAACCTATATATTATGCAGCATTATGAATAATAGTTAATTCATTATTTTATTATTATCTAACTATTATGTTATGCTTTTCGAAAGTAGGTATAGGTATGAAACAACATTTTTTGATTAGAATTTTTAGAGTTATGCAAAACTTATTGTGAAGATAAGAGTAATTTTACATATACTACCAAAATAATTTTTAAAAGTCTTAACAAAAGTAAAAAATGGATTATTCTCCTATTATTTATACCTACGGAATTCTTATATAGGAGGAAAAAAAATTAAAACAATATTTCAGGATTATTGGTTACCTATTACTAAAATCATATATTATTTCAAATACTTTGAATATAATTTAATAATTAGATAGTAGTGTAATGCAAATGCACTACTATCATGCATTACCGGGTGATTCTTTTAACGGTAGACACTCATTATTCAAAATGTATTAATGTTTTTGGAAATTATTTTTGTTTACATGGTTCCTAGTCGTTACAAAACAATATTTTTGTTAAAAAATTATATTTGTTATCTATTTTTTGAAGATTTTACTTTTTTGAAGAAAACACTTAGTTTAATTTTATCTTAGTTAAAAAGCTTAAAAATGTCAAGGATAAATAAATAATTATAATGTTAAATGATAAAATGATCACTCTATATATTAAGTTATTTTTTTTTTTTTTTATTTGAAATCATCATAACTTACACAATTTAATTATAAAAACTATTCATGATTATCTATCTCTTTTAAGCTAAAACTTTGTGTTAGAGATAAAGAGTAATACAGTCTTAAATAATAACTATAAACATATATAAGTATATAACAAATTAAAAACAAACAAAAGGAAACCAGTTATAACTAGTGTAAATAATATTTTCATCAGAAGATGAATAAAAAATTGTTTTAATCATGATTATAGACTTATAAGTTATTGTTTGGTCAATATGCGCTCAAATGCATCAATTCAATGGGAAAAAAAAACCTTTTCAACATAAAAGTAGTTGTACTTTATTCTAGTCATTGTTTTAATTTACGTGTTATAATACAAATTCATAAAATTTCAAACGGCAATACCTTTTGCAACCAAATTAACAGCCAATACTACTTTTTTTTAAAATCTAATAACAATTTAATACAAATGATACAGTAATTACAGCAGAAACAATGACCCAAGTCGGAGTGAACATTATTTCACGTATAATAGTATTTGTGTCAAGGACCACGTTACATCCCTAATTGCATTTTTTTTTCCTGTTACCGGTTCACTAAGCCTACTGTCGTGGCTAGCCCAGTAGAACATCGTACAGGCATGCGTAAAAATGGACAATTATTGTATATTATATTTAAAAAATATATATATATAGCTACAGATACAGAGGTACCTACGCGTCATCCCGTCAAATCTTTCGCCCAAACGCGTTGATCATTGTGAAATCACAGACAAATTAATAATTATAATGATTAAAGCTGTGTATGTACGAGCCATAAAATCGTGTAATGAGTATATGGGAACGATATTGAACGTTTTTTGTTCTATTCGAATTCCACGGATCGTTTGGTGATTTAATTACAGGGCCATTGGACCCTGAGTTTGCATTGTGTGCGCAACCACTGTGACTGCGCCGACCGGAAGGACTAATTACTATTGTTGACCAGTATACAGCCCCCCCGAATACAGCGTGTATATTCCGCGAAATTGCAACACATACTTTGGGTGATGTGCTGAGGGGGAGGGTGAGACCAGACTTCAAAAAAAACAACCAAGTTAACGATATTTTGACCACACTGTATAAAACTACCCGAGTTTATACCTGTAGGATCGCTGTTAAAATAGCGATATCAGCAATTTAGGTACTCAAAACGAAATCCGTTTCCGTAATATTTCTAATTTCATAATATCTAATAAAAAAATTTTACCACGTGGCGTTTGTAGGTGTACTATAATATTGCTCAGTTTTTATAATAAATTGTATTACTTTATTAAAACGTGCTCACTTGCAGTGGCTTATAATATGTACGACCCGTGTGCACACAATTAATAATAATATAGGGTTTCTATATTATAGTAAATGGTAATACTGGAATAAATGTATCATAATGATATAATGAATAGGTATAAAAATATAATTATAACATACCGTTTGTTAACATTTTTAGAACAGTGAGAACCGTGATAGCTTGAACCATATTTGGTAAACAATTTGTTGATGTCATTTTCGCGTAAATCACAAATTGAAAAGTGCTAGCACATGTTCCGAGTGTCCGACACTACGAACAACAAGTGTTTGACGGTGGTCCGTGCTAGTATAAATGTTGAGTCGTGTTCTGCGCGGATCTGATGTATAATCGAATAAATAATAATTAATATGATGGGGGGAGAAAAATCGAAAACTATCTCGAAACCGTTACAGAAAATACGTTCGATGCGCCGTCGATGTCCGCGGAAATCAAACGAAAAATTATTTTCAACTATATTTAGGAGACTCGCGCGGCGTATGTATTGCGGATGGGTCGAATGTCGGACGACTGAAAAACACAACCGATCGGATCGACGGCGCGGAGCTAAAAGATCGGCGGACGCTGTGAACTGTGCGGCAGGCGCCCGGTATCTCCACGGGTGAATATCCACTGTCCTTGGACCGATGTCCACGCACGAATCCGGAAGTGCGCGCGACTATTGTGTCCGGGAGATCCGACTTCCGGCAAAATAGCGCCGCCGGCTCCGCGAGGTGTGAACTCGCGCTGTGCTGTGTGTGTGTGTGTGTGTGTGTGTGTGTGTGTGTGTGTGTGTGTGTGTGTGTGTGTGTGTGTGTATGTGTGTGTGGTTTTTTGAATGCTGCAGAGGGGACCGATATCGTGCAGAGTTCGTCGAACCGATTCAGCAGCCACCTCACGAATTTCAATCGCTGTCCATTATGTACACGCATTATTATATATTATATATATATCGGTGATCTATTTACACTCTCATTATCTCATTATTTCAAAAACAATTTCAAAGTTTTTGAAAATATTTTTCTTTCACATATTATAATAGAATCTTAAGTAGATACCTCGCGATACCTAGTTAAAAACAATTTTGTAATGGCAAAGTGCATTTATAATTCCTTATCGGCTTATTCCAAAGTAGAATATTTTGGACTAGGTACTTTTATACATAAAAGTCGAATTTTAAACGAATGGTTTATATGAGTTGTGACTACTTGCGTGAGTATCTAAAGTTTTGATATGCGGAGTACCTACCTACCACGCAGAATATATGAGTAAATTACTATTAGGTATTATATTTTCTGCATAATTACAAAATTATAACAATAAAAAATATAGCAATAATATTATTTTTTCCAAAAATTTTGATTTCCAATGACATAATATTATGTAAAAGATTTGTTTTTGAAACCTTCATACAGTGTTTTCCGAAACAATTACTGTCGTTGAATGGATCACCCTGTTTATTATGTTATTATATGCACACAATATAACTGTGTGTATCTAAGCCGTATATTCGTGGGATAAGTGCTCGGGCTTGGTTTTTATTGCCGGGGCGTGGTTAATAATTGGCTTAAGAAATGGTTTAAAAGTGAAATACGAAATATTGTGACGTTATTTAGAACACAATTTTATATTTTATTAAATTGCATTTTATGGAAAATGTATTACAATATTTGGGGCACCACTAGGATACCAATTCGAAAAAAACAAACATTTTAAACCATAATACGACAGTCATCTTCGGTCTTTCACCGTCTATATTATAATATTGTTACTATGTAAATGGGTTACTTATATCTACTCAGTAGGTACTCGTCAAGAGCGGAAGACGTACCGCTACCAATGAGACGGCACACGGTCCGCGCCATGTCGTCACGCTCCTAAGGACGCTCAGTCTGTCGTGATACATATTATGTCTTACAAGGTTCTGGCCAGACCAAGGCGACGTGCTGTAGGCGGACGGATGTGGGCGGTGCCTAGATCGCATGTCGATACATAATATAGACATATCACATATACACATATACATATAGTACCCTGCTATAATAAAAATATATTCCAGCGGATGTGAGTTGAGAAAACTCCATGCAAGTGCAAGATGACTAAATGTTTTTTATAATATTAAAACATTATTTTACTCAAAATGTCTTAAATCTTATATTTTGGGTGTGTAGTATGCACCTAAGTATAGGCACCTGTAGAATTAAAAGTCAAATGCACTGATGAAGTACACTGAACCGCAAAATATAAATACGTTAAGCAAATTACATTCTGAGCCTGAACGTTTACCTACCTATATAGGAACATAATAATATTAGGTATTATATAATGTTGTTTTGCAATTTAAATAAACATAGAGGGTTGTTACATTAAAATATCTATACTATAAAATCATTATACATTTTCTTGAGCAATGAAAACGGATAAAAAAAATTGCAAGTATTTGTCCTTATGCACTAAATATCTACTTTGTACCGAGACTTTAAATACTTTTCAAAGTAAGTATCGTCTGTATTTATATACTTGAATACTTTTAAACTTTTAATAAAGTATCTTTTACACGAATGATAACTTAGTACAAATAGGCTATAATATTTTATGATAGGTATATTAGATTCTGAGTGGAATGATGATTGATTTTACAATGATGTGTATTTTTTTTATTATTTATTTTGGGTCTGTGTACACAATAAGTAGTCGATTTTTAACTTCAGTATATTGTTCGATGGGAAAGTGAATATAATTGGCGCATTGGGGAGGTCAAAACTTAAAATCCTTAATAGTTTTCAAAAGCGCCGGGAAAAACAACATAAAAATTAAGGAAAAACTGGAATTTTTACGCAAAATCGGTTTTCCGCAAAATCGATTTTGGTTTTTACATGAAATTTTCACTGGTCGTTTAAATATGCATTTTCTATACACGATAAAATGTATTTAATCTCAGAGACACGCGAATTCACGATAGTGCGGTATCTTGCTGGACAAACTAATAATATATTTACGGATTTGCCTATTGGTGCAGTGTTATTATAGTTTCGGATATGTTATTTTGTACTTTTTTCAGTTTTATTTTTTACGTACCTATAACCTATTCTATTATATTAATTTTTCATTTGATTATTAAAAATATAACTTAGGTACCTACCTACACAATCTTTTATTGACTTTTGAAAAAAAAAACATGTCTAATAGACAATTTTAAAGTGGTGCATCTAAAAGACGGAGAAAAATTTTCAAAACAATGAATTAAACAAATATAAAGGATTGATGAATAATTTTGTATTTAATTCAGGTAACTGAGGTACCTGGTTCATATTTGTGTCCTTTCATTTTAGGACAATACAGAGAATATACAGCCATTATCATAATAATGATATTTATTCTTAATTTATATTATACTAGCATAGAAGCATACATAAATGATATCATATCTAAGCGTGCGGTAGTTATAATAGATATGAGAACAGTGAGTGAATGTATAATTTCATAATTTACCTATTAAATTATGGAATTTAAATTTTGTGTATTTTAGTTTGTTTAATATATCAACAAGACACAACGTATCAAATAAATAGATAAGTGTAATGTCGAGAAAATTTTTTTTTTAAGGGGCCACCAATTGGTAGTTGCACCCCGGCCTCCTGAGAATTAGATCCGGCACTGTTAGGCAGTAAAAAAATAGGTATGGATTATTTATAATCTATATATATAAAAATAGAGCGTGAAAATGTCAATATACCTCATCAATCGAGAACGGCTGGTGAGATTAGGCTCAAATTTTTTTTGAGATGTACGTTATTGCCAGGAGAAGGTTTTTACGAAAGAAAATTTTATCAAAATCCAACGAAAAAGTAGGAAATCTGAATGTAAAAAATACAACAGTGGCGCAACAGAGTATTATATATTGGTTGCTATATCGGCTATATATTAAATACATATAAATTAATATTTGTGTGTATATTAAACCTCTGGGAAGAAGACGGGCAAATTTAAAAATAGCAAAATTTGGGTTTTTTTTATTCATCTGATATTAGTACGGTTAGGTTAGGATTTTGTATTAATTGATTATATTAGTCCTCGATAGGTGGAATACGACAAACTTGGTATAACTTTAATACTTTAGAGTTAAATCATACACTTATGTACAAACAGCACGGGGTCCGCGATCTATCGCACGTAGATTGTCCAACTGATAATATACTGCTGCGAATCAGAATTTTTTTCCGTGCAACAGAAAAGTTAAGATACATTTTGAACACCATACACTGAATATTAAATAACGAATTAAACAAAGTTTGAGTCATATAGACTTGGTACATTTAACGAGCAACGAACTGCACGGGATCAGCTAGTATTATATATAGAAACTTCTTATATGTTTACTTTCGTCGGTATTAGTATCAGCATTATTTATATGTACGTTATTAAATATTAATTATGATATATGATTGCTGAACTAACATTATTTGTTCCTCATAAAGTTATTGGTAACAGTAATATTCTTTTACTTTATAAAAAAATTATATAGACCGTAACATATCTCTTTAATCTTTTATACTACGAGTGGCACACAATATAATAAATGTAAGTACCAATCTAATGATTTTATAATGATCTTTGTGTTTTTGTTTTTAGTAGAAAAAATTCTCTGATAATCACCTTCGGTGGAGGTTTAGTGTAGCAAATTCGATAAAATATTAGTTCTTATCGGAGCTTAAAAGTGAAAATTCTTTGCTAACGCTCTTCTGTACTTATTTATAGTAGGCTATAAGTTGGTTACTGTAATGGATGGTGTTACATTTGGTTTCCATGATATATTATAATAAAATTGTATTTATGTACGAAATACTATTCTGAGCAGATACCTCTGTCCAGTCACCAGTCGGCCTATTTTATAATAATATTTAAAAAGGTGGGTAAGTGAATGTCGCTCTGCTGTACAGTAGCTTACAAGTGAATGGATGGTATTAAATATGAATTCAACGATATAATATCATTCTATAAGAAAAAGGATTCTGAGCTTAGACGGTATGTCAGTCTAGGTATAAGACATATTATATAGATACTTATCTATGGTATTAAAAAAAAAAATTACCTACCTATAATAGGGTAAATTTAATAAATTCCAAATTAATCATATCAAAATATCCATGAGGTACTTATAACGCTTTATACATCAACAACAAACCGTGATGATATCATAGATATAATATAATAGTATA